TCCCAAAAAAAATGAAAGAAAAAGGAAAAAAGATATTGAATGGTAATTTTGTTGTATTTTATTCTGAACTTCTGTTATATTTTCAAATTTTGAGGTGGTATATTATTATTAAAGGAGTAGAATAGTTTCACACATTAACAAACTTAACATTAAGATAATATATAGTAATGATTAGTTAATATTAAGTCGAAGAATTTTTTTTGGCAAAAACCTCTACATTCGAATTGATTAAAAAAAGAGGCCCAGTTAATATAAATGAGTAAATGTCATGTTTGATGCTTTTCAAATCACTTTGGTAGACTCTTTAGGAATTTTCAAGAGAGAAATTTATTTGTATAAAATTTTTGGAAAGGTTCTATAGTATATAAGTTGTTACCTTAGGTTATTGTAGCTTAAATTTTTTTAGCATATGCTCCAGAAAGTCTCATTTTTCTGTAAAAAGGGACCCCATTTTAAAACGGTTATTTTCTTCAGAATCGCTATGCTGGGAAATTTTACCCAGAAGACTCGATATTTTAGGGAAAAAAAAGGTTTCATTTGAAGGTTTACCCTCTATATAATTTAATAATACAATTATTTACCTAGACTTCATTGGTCAACCTATAGTTTGTCGCCTTCCTACAAAAAATATTGAACTACGAAAGTTAATTATAATTTCATATGTTTGCGTCATTTATTTATCTAATAATGTAGATTTGCCGAATTACTATCTTGATATTCTAATGTAACTTCATGTCATTTTGTGTGCTAACTTTGTTTTTCAATTACATAATATAACAAACATTGTAACTTTTAGTACGCATTTGGACAATATTTAATTGAAGTTGCAAAATAATATTTAAAAGTTTGGTTAATTTGGACATATAATTTGTCAACTTCAACTTGCAATATTATTTGCAAAATAATGTATGTGTTAATTTTCTGGTTCGTTATGTATTCTGCGAACATTGAAATAGAGAATTTAGAATTAAAAATTTGCTTGAAAAGTATATCCATCAAGTGAAGTTTATGTCCAAACACAATTTATCTTTATTTTTTTTTTAATTTAACTTTAGATAACAGAATTGAGACTAACCACCACGTTAAATTTTATCGGATAACACAATATAACACAAATTGTTGGGCCCGTGCTAGCACGGGCTAACGGCATCTAGTTTTAATATAAACATTTAAAGAGGACCCGCAATTTATGCATTTTTGTTTGGCAGGGCTCACCTCGTTTTACTATTTAAAGGCAAACCTAAAGCGAACTACGATTTTTTATTTAATTTTTGTCTCTAACAGGGCCTAAACCATCAATTGCTATTATTTACCAAATAATATTATGAAGTCCAATCTTCAGTAACTCTTTTGGGCCTTAATGAATGGCCCAGGACTGTAGACACACGATCAGATTCACTAGGTTGACGGATGAATACTATAATTTCTGAAGATTTATCAACATGCCCAAAATGATTAACTACCATGGCTACTAACTAAATATTGAAATGTCGATTTCCGTATCATTTTTAACTACTTACGCTGATTTGGATACTAGTTCCACCGTCATTTACATAAGGAAGTGAGATTAGAGCAGGAAACTTATCATATGCAATATTTATCAAATGATGAAGGTGAGTAACCTGATGATTAGCAGAATCAAGTGATTTAGTTTTGTTTTAGATATTGAAACTATTTAGACTTAACAAATTAACATATACAGATATAAGCCTATTCTAAAAAAACCAATGAACTAGTAATTCCAGCAATGCCTTTAACCTTTGCGAATTATTTCTACATCCCGTGGCCATGGATTCGACTCTGCCATAGTATTAAAGTTCCTTCCAAAATCGAATTGCACTAACAGCTACAACAACTAAATATCTACAACAATATTGCTTAGTCTCAGCTACAACAACTAAATGTTAAATGCTAACATGATCTACAGTTCATAGCTGATATAGCCCAGTTATGCAGTCCAGTCATACAGTCAAGGATTTAAAAAACGAAATATATATCAAACTAAGCTATGCTAAGCAATATATATAAACTATTATCTATTTTAACTACAAACACAGATGAAACCAAATGAGCAGGGATCTGATGAACACTTTTCATATTTTCAACTCCAATTCAAAGCTACATCAAGGTGAATTCGAAGGCGTGTACCTGGAAATTGAAAGATAATAAGAAGAAACAGAAATCAGCAGTAGTAGTGAGGATTTTGCAGTGTTTAACAGCAGGAAAATAGTAGCAGTTTCAACTTGGAATCCCAGCACTGAAACACCAGCAAACAGACCAAAAAAATCGACTGAACAGACCATTTTCAACTTGAAATCAACCCAGGAACTTTTAACTTCAACTACTGAACAGAACTAAGAGATTCAAACCACTTTAAACCTTATGTAAACTGAAAATTTGAAGTAGGATGCTAGAACTTTTGAGCTGATCTAAAATTATAATCAAACAGTGTTGTTTTTTGGAGTTTTTTGTTATATATTTTTGGTTTTTGATGAAGCTAATATCTAAGAGGAAATGTTGAATTGATGGAGTTCAGATTTGAATATTCGAATTTAAAATTCAAATTTCAGATGCTGTACTTGCAGGGAATATTTTTTGGGGGGAACTTTAAGTGCTGGAAATTTTGGGATTTTTTTCAGATTGAAACTTTTTGGAATTTTTCCGATGTTAAAACTTTTAGAAATTTTTGGGGATTTTTCCGAAAAAACATGTGAATGAAGGCAGAGTGCATGCCTTTTATAGGCAAACTTGAGGGTTCTCTCAGATTTTCAACTTTACACCCCTAGTCCCTCTTTTATTTTTCAATTTTTAGCTAGTTAGTCCCTTATTTGTTGGCTTGTTGCCCAAGTTAGACTATTAAGTTCCTGAATTTCTAATTGGAACCACATCTAGAAGGTTCTAGGGGTTTCCAATTTCAGTTACTATAAGATTCCTTGACTAAAGTACCTAAACTACACTTTTATTTATTCTGAAATTACTAACCTATACTAATTGACCCCAGCCCCTCTTACTTGGTCAAATAACTATGGTTAATTACTCACAGGGACTGAAAGGTTCAGCTGAATCCAAACAAATCCTAAAAATTGAACTAATCAATCAACCCAATTAATCAGAAAAAATGGAAATTAATTCTAACTAAAACTGTTAACCTAAACTAATTTTATTCACTGAACGATTCAACAACTCAAACATGAAATTACACTGAACAAAAAATCAAATAATAAAAATGCAAAGAAGACATAAAACTACTTGTATCTAAGAAGATGAACAAAATCAATCAAGATGTAAAGAAAAAACAATCACCAATCATGGAATTCAAATCAAACAGACAATCACTGTAATCAAAACCCTAAAAAAAACTAAATCAAAACCTAGAACAATAGTCACTGCCAAAATAATTCAAATAAAGCATGGATTAATCAAAAAAAACTATTTTTAAAAATCAGTGAATTCAAATAACAAGAGAAAGAAAAGGAGAACTCGCCTATGTAAGATTTGAACGAAAACTGGACTTCGATTCGGGCCTCGGAACAATGTTAACCATTTGTTCTTCTCAAAGAACAACGAAAACATTGTTTCGAGACTCGAATCCAAAGCCAGACTCAAGAAATTGGGCAGAAATCGAGCAGTTTGAACTTCTAGGGTTCAGCCGCTTCTCTGATTTAAAATTCGAGCAGCTCTAATGATATTCGAAGGAATCCAGTTATGGGCTCGGGAAGAGGAGGATGAGGAGAGTATGAGGTGTGAATTTGGTAGGGTTTGGGAGGTAGCGCCGGCGTGCACGGCGGAGGCGGCGCTAGGGTTTTGGTTATTTGACACGTTTGGGTGAGAATTGAAAGAAACGAAGATCGGATTCGGAAAGAGGATGTGAAGAAGAGGATATGGTGTAAATTTGGGAGCCATTGGAGACTCGCCGCCGGCAGAGACGATTCCGGCCGGCGGCGGACGGCGGAGGGCGGTGGTGATATTAGGGGTGTTCTGAGACGATGAACGAGGGGTAGAGGGGGGATTAGGACACTTATATATCAAACATCCTAGTTAGTTCCGGACCGTTGGATTGATGAGATCCAACGGTCATGATTCACACGCCATAAAACGGCGCCGTTTTAATTAAATGGGGAGTGGACCAGACTGGCCTGATTTGGGCCTCATTGGAACGGGATTTTGAGGTTTTTCTTGGCTTGGGTTTTAGGAATTTTGGCTTGGGCCAACAAATTTAATAGGCTGAAGCCCAAGTCAGACCTTTCTTTTTTCTCTTTTATTTCCTTTTCAATTAATTTCTTTCTTTTATTTAAAATCAATTCAATTTCATTTCATTTTTTTTGATTTTTATTTTTGTGTTAAAAGCAAAAATATGGATTAAACTAAATTTAAACTAATTAATTTTCTCAAACTAACTAAATCCCAACAAAGAATGTAAAAATGACAAAATACTATATTTTTATATTTTTGTGAATTATGCTAACTAAATATGCACAAAAATGCAAGGAAACACAAAAATCATGCAATTAATTCCTAAAAATTCAAATATTAAAAGAAAAAAATTCGAATTTTAATGAATTCTATAGGAGTAATTTAAGCGTGGCAAAATTCACGTGCTCACAACAAGTTTTTGGCGCCGTTGCCGGGACTTAGAAATTAGCTACTTGACTGAATTGAGCTTTTGTTATTTATTTATTCGAGTTTTAACCTTTAGTTCACTTTGATTTTGTTAATACAGGATTTTCTATTGAATGCGAAGAAGTAGAAGCGCAAACAATCTCCTTCCTCTCGATCCCGAAATTGAACGAACACTTCACAGATTGAGGAGGGAGGTGGACGCCAGAACTAGAATTGAAAGAGAGTTGGACATCGTAGTTCAACCACAGCCAATTGAGATGGCGTTTAATGAGGAACGTGCGGTGATTGAAGCCGCAAGGCCCGGTCTGGCTAATATGACTCAGGCTATCGTGAAGCCTGATATCACAAGGCACTTTGAGCTGAAACAATACATGGTGCAGCTGATCCAGTCCACAGGGCAATATGTGGGCCTACCTCATGAAGACCCGCAGAGGCATATTCAGAATTTTCTAGAAATTACGGATACTTACAACTATCCGAACGTTTCTAAGGACTATGTCAGGCTGACACTTTTCCCCTTTTCTCTGCTCGGGGAAGCTAAGGAGTGGTTGAATAAGGAGCCAGCTAATTCAATCCGCACTTGGGATGATTTGGCAAGGAAATTCTTAATCAAGTTTTTTCCCACCAAGAAAACAAAGATGTTGAGGAGTCAAATTCTTGGGTTCGAACAACGAGCTAGCGAGACACTTTGTCAAGCATGGGAAAGGTACAAGAAGTTGCTCAGAGACTGTCCTCACCATTGCCAGACGGACGAGGTATTGGGTCACACTTTTGTAGATGGGCTAGATGATGCTTCAAAGATGAATCTAGATTCAGCTTGTGGGGGTAGCTGTATGGCCAAACCGTACAGTGAAATCCAACTCTTGCTGAATACTTTCACTGCTAATGATAATAACTGGCAAGGTGATGGTGACTCGCGAAAGGCAGTTAAGCAAAAATCAGCTGGGTTACTTGAGCTCGATGAGGTGTCACCAATGAGAGCCGAAATTGCAAAGCTGGCCAATCAGATGACTAGGATAACAATGCAGCAGCCACAGCCAATGCAACAGGTACAACAGATGACTATTTGCTGCGAACTGTGTGGCGACAGTCATATGAGTGATATGTGCCCCACGAATCTAGAATCCATCTATTATGTGGGGCAACAAAACAGGGGTCCACCGAACCAGCATGCACAATACGGGAATACTTACAATCCAAATTGGAGGAATCATCCCAACTTCTCATGGGGTGGAAATCAGCAGAATCAGAATCAGTATAGACCCCAAGGGGGTTTCAATCAGCCTCAGAGACCACCCCAACAAACGGAAGAGAGCACAAATGATTTACTAAAGAAGTTGTTGATTGACAATCAGCAGCTCAGGACCGACTTCAGAAATCTTGAGAGGCAAATGGGGCAATTAGCAACAAATAAAAACACTAGACCTGCAGGCGCTCTCCCTAGTGACACAGAAAAGAATCCGCAAGTGAATGCAGTTACACTTAGAAACGGGAGGGAGCTTGAGGAAGTGGCAAAGAAAAAGAAAGATAAGTCTGTACGTGAGGGGGAGTTGATCCCTAAAGTGACAAACGAGCCAGAGAAGAATGCTGAAATTCCAGAGCCAGTGGAGGCCCCAAGGCCACCACCACCTTTTCCCCAGAGATTGCAGAAACAGAATGATGATCGCATGTTCAGCAAATTTCTCTCCATGTTGAGCCAGGTGCAATTGAATATTCCACTTGTTGATGTGCTTCGTGAAATTCCAAAGTATGCTAAGTACATAAAAGATATAGTGGCTCATAAGAGAAGATTAACTAAATTTGAGACAGTTGCACTTACTGAGGAGTGCACTTCTAGGGTCCAAAATAAGCTCCCTCAAAAGCTTAAAGATCCTGGCAGCTTTACGATTCCTGTGTGCATTGGTAATATTGATGTGGGTCGTGCTCTTTGTGATTTGGGGGCAAGCATATATTTGATGCCCCTATCGTTGTTCAGGCAATTGGGTCTGGGAGCTCCAAGGCCAACTACTGTGATGTTGCAGCTGGCTGGCAGATCGATAGCACACCCTGAGGGGGTGATTGAAGATGTGTTGCTGCAAATTGGGAAATTTATCTTCCCTGCTGATTTCATTATCCTCGATTATGAGGCTGATGAACTGGTCCCAATCATATTGGGCGACCTCTCTTGGCTACTGGTGACGCAATTATCAAAGTGAGAGAGGGAAAGATGATCTTGAGGGTAGATGACGAGGAAGCAGTTTTCAATGTCTACAAAGCAATCCAACTTCCCCGTCACTATGAGGAGCTTTCCATGATATCTGTTGTTGAGGCTGATGAGCAAATTCGTGATCCAAGTGTATATCTAGACGATTTTCTAGAGAAAGCACTTATGTTGTTTGATAGCCTAGGGAATGATAAAGAGGTCGAGGAGATGAAGCACATCCTTGATACATCTTGTGCATACATGCAGGGGATACACCCCTCTGAACCCTTGAATAGGCCAGAGGGACCTCCTCCAAAGCCGTTAATTGAGGAAGCCCCGAACTTGGAGCTTAAACCTCTCCCATCTCACCTGCAATATGCTTATTTTGGGAGACTCTGACACTTTATCTGTTATTGTTTCCTTTGACTTGTCTAAATTGGAGGAAGAAAAGCTGTTGAGAGTGCTACGTGAGCACAAGCGAGCAATTGGGTGGAGGATGTCTGACATAAAGGGCATTAGTCCAGCCTTTTGCATGCACAAAATCCTCATGGAGGACGGACACAAGCCCAGTGTAGAGCAACAACGATGACTCAATACAATCCTGAAAGAGGTGGTAAGAAAAGAAGTGATTAAGTGGCTTGATGCAGGTATTGTATTTCCTATCTCAGACAGTAAATGGGTAAGTCCCGTCCAATGTGTACCCAAGAAAGGGGGGATGACTGTAGTAGTTAATGAGAATAATGACTTAATCCCTACAAGAAATGTCACCGGGTGGAGAATTTGCATTGACTATAGCAAATTGAACAATGCCACCCGGAAGGACCACTTCCCCCTCTCCTTTATTGACCAAATGCTTGATAGATTAGCTGGCCAGGAGTACTACTGCTTCTTGGATGGTTATTCTGGGTATAATCAGATTTCTATAGGCCCAGAGGACCAAGAGAAGACCACTTTTACGTGTCCTTATGGCACGTACGCGTTCAAGAGAATGCCCTTTGGTCTTTGTAATGCACCTCCGACTTTTCAAAGGTGTATGATGGCCATTTTTACTGACATGGTCGAGAGGTTTGTGGAAGTATTCATGGATGATTTTTCTGTGTTTGGATGTTCTTTTGATAACTGCTTGATGAATCTTGATAAAGTGCTTGCTAGGTGTGAAGAGACTAACTTGGTGCTAAACTGGGAAAAGTGCCATTTCATGGTACGCGAAGGTATAGTTTTTGGGCACAAGGTGTCCAAAGATGGTTTGCAGGTGGACAAGGCAAAGGTGGAAGCGATTGAAAAATTGCCTCCACCGATATCTTTCAAAGGCATTCGTAGTTTCTTGGGCCATGCAGGTTTTTATCGTCGTTTCATTAAAGATTTCTCGAAAACTTCCTCTCCCTTGTGCAGGTTACTTGAGAAGGATGTCGCCTTTAAATTTGATGATGCTTGTCTGAAGGCATTCGAGGAGCTGAAGGGAAGGTTGGTGACTGCACCAATCATCATTGCTCCGGATTGGGAGCAGCCATTTGAGTTGATATGCGACGCGACTGACTTGGCTATTGGAGTTGTTTTGGGGCAAAGGAGAAACAAAGTCTTCCACTCCATCTACTATGCAAGCAAGACTCTGAATCCAACTCAGATGAATTACACAGTCACTGAAAAAGAGTTGCTTGCAGTGGTGTGGGCGTTTGACAAGTTCAGGTCATATCTTGTGGAGACCAAAGTCATCGTCTACACAGATCATTCAGCCATCAGATACCTGTTTGAAAAGAAGGACGCCAAGCCGAGACTGATTCGGTGGGTCCTACTCTTGCAAGAGTTTGATTTAGAGATCCGAGATCGCAAAGGAACAGAGAATCAAGTGGCTGATCACTTGTCCAGATTAGAAAATCGGAATCATGTAGCTGAAGGGGGTGTAATAAAAGAAACATTCCCTGATGAGCAGTTATTGGTGATTGCCTCAAGCACAGCCCCATGGTATGCAGATTATGTGAATTTTATTGCAAGTGGGGTGATACCACCAGAGCTGACACCAGATAATACACGAAGGTTCCTGCATGGTGTGAGGCTTTACATGTGGGATGAGCCATTCTTATACAGGCTCTGTGCAGATCAGTTGGTGCGGAAATGTGTTCCTGAGGAGGAAATGAATGCCATACTTCATAGCTGTCACGCATCACCATACGGAGGTCATCACGGGGGAGATATGACTGCCCAGAAAGTGTTACAATCAGGTTTCTATTGGCCAAAATTGTTTAGGGATGCACAGGCCTTTGTTAAAATGTGTGACAGATGCCAAAGAACCGGAACGATCACAAAGAGGCACGAGATGTCGTTGCAAGACATTCTAGTAGTGGAGCTCTTTGATGTGTGGGGAATAGATTTCATGGGACCGTTTCCACAATCTAACGGTCATAGGTACATCTTGGTGGCAGTCGACTATGTTTCCAAGTGGGTGGAGGCCATTGCTCTTCCCACTAATGATGCAAAGGTGGTTGTGAGCTTTGTCAAGAAGCACATCTTTACATGCTTTGGAACTCCAAGAGTATTGATCAGCGATTGAGGAACATATTTTTGCAACAAATTGCTGAATAATGTCCTTGCAAAGTATGGAGTGAAGCACAAGGTGTCCACTGCCTATCACCCCCAGACGAGTGGTCAAGTGGAGGTGTCAAACAGAGAGGTAAAGCAGATTCTTGAGAAAATAGTGAGTGCAAATAGAAAAGATTGGGCCGGGAAGCTAGACGACGCATTGTGGGCATATCGAACTGCATACAAAACTCCCATAGTTGCTTCTCCGTATAAACTGGTTTATGAGAAGGCATGTCACTTGCCCGTCGAACTTGAGCACAAGGCCTATTGGGCGATTAAAAAGCTGAATATGGATGGGGACCTAGCTGGAGAGAAGAGGTTGCTGCAACTCGATGAGCGTGATGAGTTTCGATTGTACGCGTATGAGAATGCCAAATTGTATAAAGAGAAGACTAAGAGGTGGCATGACAAGCACATTCAACATCGAGAGTTCGAGCCAGGGCAAGAAGTTCTTTTGTTCAATTCGAGATTGAAGCTTTTCCCCGGAAAGCTAAAATCTCGTTGGTTAGGCCCTTTTGTTGTAGTAAGTGTGAAACATCATGGAGCTGTGGAATTGCGAGATATGTGTTCAACTGGTACCTTTTTGGTGAATGGTCAAAGGATAAAACATTACTGGGGTGGTGACTTTGCACTTCCCAAGACCTTGGTGGACTTGATGGATGCTTGAGAACGTGTTGAGTCGTGCCGCGACGTTAAATCAGGCGCTGGATGGGAGGCAACCCATTGCATTGTTGTAACCGTCGTGCCGCGACGTTAAATCAGGTACTTCATGGGAGGCAACCCACGATAGTAGAATTTCTAACATGTTGTATATATGAAGGTTAGTGCGGAGGATGTTGCATCACGAGCCTGGACATATCATGGGTAAGGTAGGCATTAAAAGAGGTAAAAATAGTGCCTAAGGGGCAAAACAATGAACAGAACCCCAACAATAGGCCGCCAGTAACGGGCCCACCGCGGTCGCGGCGTAACCGCGGTAGGACCGCGGTCGTGACCCCTCTCTGAAGTTATCCCACCGCGGTCACAGCGTAACTGCGGCAGGACCGCGGTGGACCAGTACGGGCCCAGGTATGAAAACGCAGAATTTTTTTTTTCTTTTCTTTTTCTCCCTTTCATTAATCTAACCTAAACTAACCCTCCCCAACCAAAACATCCGCCCCCCTTTTCTCCATTCTCTCTATTCTCTCTATCTTCTCTCATCCTCTCCCCCCACTCTTCTCCTCCCTTCTTCTTCCCCAACTCTTTTCCCCCATTTTTTTTCCTTCTTCTTCTTCTTCCCAACAACCTACTCTCTCTTCTTTCTTCTTCTTCCCATAACCCATTACCCCTTCTTCTTACCCCCTTCTCCATCCAAACCCTACCCACCCACAACCCCTCCCCCCCAAAAAAATGCCCCACCCCCTACCCAGCCCCAACCCCCCAAATTTTTTCCTTTTTTTTTTCAAGACTCCGCGGTAATCCTCAAGTAAGTTGTTCTACTTTTCCTTATGTTGTATGTATTTTGCATTATGTAGTGATTATTGTAGATAATTCTTGATTTTGGTTTCAATGGGGTTTTAGACTCCAAGTTTGGTGTTGTAGTCGGTGTTTGGGGTTGATTTGTATAGGTGTGGGGTGTATTCTAGTTGATAATTTGTGTGTGCGGGGTGGGTGGTGGTAGCATTTAACTGTATGTATTGATGGAAGCTTGTGATGGGGTTTTATAGGACGAAATTGTATCGTTGATGAGTGGTGTGGGGTCAATAGTGGATGTTGTACACTTTGGATAATTGTTTGGTGCCAGCGGGTGGAGAAGTCTGAGTATCCATCCGACTGGCACATGTTTGGCTGGCCCTGATTGTTATGATGAACTGATTTCAGGTACGATGGCCAGAAAGAAGCGAAGAAGCTCGGAAAGCACTTCCGACGCCCCGACTTATGATGCCACCCGGTTCACATCCGAGGAGGCCCAGGACAGGTTTCATGCGAAGGCCACCAAAAACTTTTTCCCGGAAATTGGTATTGACAGGGCTGCCCTCCGTGTCGAAAAAGCAGACATGTACGGGAAATCCGCCGGAGGGGGATGGAGTACTTGTTTGACGAACCTGATACGGCAAACCCAATGATAGTCCGGGAGTTCTACGCGAACTGCCCGGAACATATGTGTCGTTCTGTGATTGTGCGGGGCAAAGTGGTAGATGCCTCAGTACATAGAATTCGCCAGGTCCTGCAGCTGCCCCCCTTCACAGGTGACAATGAGTATTACCACAATTCTCCAGGGGTCGATTGGGACACTCTAATTGAGTCCATAT